AATAAAAACAAATAAGCGAAAATCCTCTCTGGACATTAGATATTTGACCATTGAAAGTCATATCCTAGGCTCTTTATGTGTAATGCATACAATCAGAGCTACCGTCTTTGGTATCTGCTTCTGTTTGGCAGCAATGGCTCTATCTGCTTCTCACCAAAGCTGTCTTGTGCTTCCTCATGTGTTGGCCTCCAGCTCACTCTGGTCTCACTCTGAATGATGCAAATGTACCAATAGAAACACATTCTCCACACTGGAATGGGTTTGGATTGGGATTGCCTTTTGTATTTCCACACACAGTATGCAAATTTTCTCCCACCTTGATTTTCTAAGAATGGAGTTCTTGTAGATGTGGTCCATATTGGCTTTAAAATAAGCTAAAATGCTGTTAAAACAATCAATATAGTACCAAGATAGCTATGAAAACATGCTTTTTGCACATGGGCTGATCTACAGAAGTTTGTGTTCTACACATCATAGGATAAACTCAAGTTTGGTGATGGGAAAGAAGGTCAAGATGGCAAGAAAATGAGGGAAACTTTTAAAAACTTTCTGTTCAGTTTCACATAGCAGAGCCTGTTTTGAATCTCAGCATTCAGGGCTACAGCAGGCAAATTGTAGTCTGAGGTCAGTTTAGGATATTTAGAGAGAATATATCTCAAACAATAAAGTTATAATAAAATAATACAACCATTTCTTGTGCATCTATGCCACAAAGTTGTCTTAGAAAATACAGCCTAAGTAGCCAGTCTACTTTAGACCTTAAAGCCCACGCATGTCAGATCATCCATACCCTTTTAAAGAGGGGGTTTTAAGAGTATATTTTAAATAAAAAACAGTAGAAACTGAAACACTGGAAAAATTCAAATTGGTAGTGCAATTTATTTGCACTTATGAATATAAGCTATTGTTGTGGACTATGGCTTTAACTAAGTAAGGATGTGTTACATTTGTTTAACAATGTAAAAATGTGTTGCTTTGCACCTGATTGATCTAATAAAAAGCTGAACAGTCAATGGGTAGGCAGTAGAGGGATAGGTGGGGCTGGAAGGAAAAGAGAATAAGTAGGAGGAAGAATCTAGGGCTCAGGGGAGAAGAGGAAAGAAAGAGGGAGAAATAGAAAGAGATGCCTGGGGTCAGGCAACCAGGCAGTAGCCAGTCAGCCAGACAAAGAGGAAAGAGGAAAAGTAGAACATACAGAATGAAAGAAAGATAAAAGGCCCCAAGGCAAAATGTAGATGAAGAGAAACAGGGTCAACTAAGTTATAATAACTAATGGGACAAGCATAAGATAAGGCCGAGCATTCATTACTAATATTAAATTTCCATGTCATGATTTGGGGGCTGGCAGTGTGAGAAGCTCTGCTTCAAGCCATCCTTATGTGGATGTTTAGTAATTAAGCCAGCTACAAAATAAACCAGAATATGATTCATCAGTAAAAACAAATGGGATAATTTAACAATATGATTCCACTTAGTTTACAAATAGGCTGGCTGGGGTTGTGGGAAACAGTTCAGGAGATGATCTCCTCTGATGTGGGTGCCAGTAAAAGTCAGTTCAAAGCTGAAGGACATTAGCCATGACGGATGACTGCTATGAAGCCTGTTCTGTGAGTGATTCATTGCAGAGATCACGGCTTTTCCTCGGGCATTCCAGGGGAACAAGCCTACTACCAAGTCATCAGACGTGTACTGCAATTGTGATTCCTCTAACCTTCCAGTGAAGAAGACAGAGATTGGAAAGGAGGGCCACCAAGAATAAGAATTGTCTTTAAGGTGTCACCCAGCAGCCGATGGAGGCAGATACGAAGACGCACAGTCAAACATTAGGTGGAGTTTGGGAAGCCTAGGAAGGCGGAGGAGAAAGGAGTGTAGAAGCCAGAGGGGTCAAGAACACCATGGGAAGGCTCACACAATCAACTAGCCTGGGTTCATAGAGACTTGAAGAAAATGAACAGACAACCAAGGAGCCTGTATAAGACTGACCTAGGCACTCTGCACATGTTACCGTTGTTTGGCTTGGTCTTCAGGGGACTCCTAACAGCAGGAACAATGGCTATCTCTGACTCTTTTACTGGATGTGAGGATCCTACTTCTCATACTGGGTCACTTTGCCCAGCCTTAAAACATGAGGAGGTGCTTAGTCTTACTGCAATTTAATATATTGAGTTTTATTGCTACTCATAGGAGACCTGCCCTTTCCTGAATATAGATGGAAGAGGAGGGGACTGAGGGTTAAGAGATAGGAAATGGGGAAGACGGACTGGCAGGGGAGGATGGGAAGTGGCTGCAGCCACAATGTAAAATAAACAGATGAATAAAAAAAAAGAATTCTCTTTTTAAAAGGAAACAGAAACATTGTGTATGATAGGCAACAATAATGAGAAACAAAAAATCACTAGTTTATGTTTAGTGAGTTTCGAACAGGAATAATGCCAGCTTCCTTAGGTATATCAATATGAATTATTCCAATCATTTCATTAAGTCAAGATCTCTAGCCTTGTTTTTGAGGTAGCAACCTGAGACCCAGAATTGTGCCACACTTTCTTCAAAGGCACACATTCAGCCTTTTGTCACAGCAGGCATCGGAGTCAGGTCTTCCTCTGGAAGGTGTCTCCTCTACTAGAATAGTGTAAGGCCTTTGGGTAGGCTCCTAGACATAGATCCACATTCCACAGAAAGCTTCAACTCTGACTAATGCATCTGAAGCTGCTTCTCAACTTTCTGTAAGCATTTCAATTCTGAGGACTGTTGAGCAACAGATGAAGAAGTGGGCATTTCCAATCAGGTAACAGAATGATCTAATCTCTCTGTTAGTTTGACAACATCGTATAAAGTACTTTTGTCTGTTTGTCTATTTGAAAACCATCTACACTACCTGCCCACTCTGGGGTAACTTACTAAATGTTTCTATAGTGACTATTAGGAAAGGTAATTCCAACAATTTGCTATGGATTTTCCTACAGTTTACTTCTGAAGATGTTTCTCCAGGGGAAGCCCAAAGAAAATCAAACGATTGTTATGCTTCTTCCTGCTTTTGCATATTATATTATTCTCTCTTGATATGATGGATAGTTTATGCCAACTTGTCCTAGGTTAGAGCCATTTGAGAGGAGGGAGTCTTAACTGAGAAAATGCCTCAGTAAGCTTGAAATATAGACAAGCTTATAGAGCTTCTTCTTTATTAGTGAATGACATAGGAGGGCCCAGTCCTCAGTAGGTGCTGCAACCTCTGGGATGGTGGGGTTGGGTGATATACAAAAGAAAGAAGACTTCACAAGTCCTAGAGAGCAAATCCGTAAGCAGCACTCCTCTATGGCCTCCTGCCTCTAGGCCCTCCAGCGTTGTTTCAGTTCCTGCTATGATGTTCATCAGTGATAAACTGATGTCTGGACATATACGTGAAATAAACCCTGTGCTCCCCGAGTTGCTTTTGATCATCGCAGCAATAGAAACCCTAACTAAGATATTTCCTTAAACAATTTCATGTCTCACCACCACATGTGCTGGGTTGAAGAGAATGGTCCCCATAGGATCATGTTTGAATACTTGTTCCCCAGTTAGTAGAACTATCTGGGAAAGATTAGGAAGTGTGGCCTTGTTGGGCAAGCTGTGCTACCAGGGACAGGCTTTGAAGTTTCAAAAGCCCACACCAGGCCCAATCCTGCTCTCTCATTTCCTATTCCCTGTGGATTCGGTACAACTCCAGTGCCATGCTCTTGCCAGATGCCATGCTCCTCACCGTGATGACCATAAACTAACTTTCTGTAAGCTCCAAAGAAATGCCTTCCTGCAAAAGTTGCCTTAGTCATGGTGGGTCTTCACAGCCATATCACAGTAACTAAGAAACCACATATAATTCCTTCTTCTGACTTTAAAATCTGTCTCGGATGTTATTAATTCTATTATGAGATTATTCTAGCATAATACCTATCGCCACCAAATAAGGACAATATTTAATTATTTTAAACTCCCATATCACTTTGCACATAGCAATGGCATTTTCATGTCCACTTATAAGAACTCTTTGTGTAGGACACCACTTTCTTTTCTAGGCTGTCAGCTACTCAATGCTGCAGGCAAGTCAGACACCCTACGGACACCATCATCTTCTACAACAAGGCCCGTGAGTGGTTTTCAATGAGCATCTGTAGCCATGGTGCTTTGGATTTGTCCAATCTTGCTTCATAAAAGCATCACCTATGCAAAAATTCCTGAAGACGAGGGGCCGGGCGATGGTGGCACACGCCTTTAATCCCAGCACTCGGGAGGCAGAGGCAGGCGGATCTCTGTGAGTTCGAGGCCAGCCTGGTCTACAAGAGCTAGTTCCAGGACAGGAACCAAAAGCTACAGAGAAACCCTGTCTCGAAAAATCAAAAAAAAAAAAAAATTCCTGAAGACGAATATTTTCTAGGGACGAAAGTTTTTCCTTATAGAGCTTCTTTGCAATCTTCATGATTAGGCTTAGGTTATCTTAAGGTCACGGAATTTGATTTATTAGGGTTAAATTTGCTATTGTAAATTGCTATATTTTCTTTGACTTGCCAGTGGCCTTTCCATATTTAACATAACCTTCTGATCTAGAATCATAGGATGCCTCCCTAATAGTCAGCAAAATAGAGGTGTGAGGAGCAAGAGGGCTTTGTGTTTGCGTGTTTGTTTTAAACTTCATAGCTGAGCTGAAGAAGAACTAGGACTCTGGCTCTCTGCATCCATTTATTTCTCTTCCTTGTTGCATGGGATGCTCTGAAAGACCAGCCCCAACCATTTGAGGCTTGTTTCAGCATTGCAATATAATTAGGGGCTTTTCTTTAACAGAGCACATTCTACTATGGAAGAGCTGCCATCAAGTCTGGTGACTTGCCAAATAAAGCCATACATAAATTACTGATCCATATCTAGAATGGTGGTTTCCTCTTTCATTAATAAAAGCAACAGAATTCATTTACTTGGAAAACAGACACATAAATGGTTAAGGACAAAACAAAGACCATTGCACTGACCATAGTCTGTATTTTCTGGCTCCCAACAATTTGATGGCCAAAAATAGGGTGTCTGTTGAAGGAAAAAAGAGGAGTCTTGGTTATACACATAAATATTTAGTAGGCTTTCTGGTGTACAGTCTGTGTTTATCTTCGGTGCTTATCTAGACTATGTTTCTGATAACAAACATTTTATACCCAGAGAAAGCTAGCAGAGAGATTTTTATAAGGTTCTCATCTGCATGCACTGACCAATTTCTCAGCCTTCAGCTTTGCCAAACAACAGCAGGGATTTAAAAGGGTGCTCATTTTCCATCATCTCGTACCAACAGACATAAGGTTAAAGGATATGACTGCATTATCCAAGCAAAAGGTTCAGTTTCAGCCACAGCGAGGGCTGAAAGCGGAATATTATGTTCAGCAAGATTTGAAATGAAGCATGCCTAAATACAGCGATGTTTTCTGCACATTATATCTCTTTATTGATTTTCATAGGTTCTCAAAGTTTAGAATCATTCCTGAAACTTGTGAATCATTTTCTGGGATCTGTTAATTATGTAATGCAACTTTCAACATTATTCAGCATGATGACAGTAACCTTTGACTTTTACTTATAAAAGCATTCATTTATTGCTGTAAACTTTTAAATGGTGCAAACCAGAGATCATGTTTTTTAACTAATAGTATATTTGATGTGATTAATAATATCCAGAATTCTGATTCTGTAAAATTCTAGAAATACACTGACTGAAATATAAAAGGAAATTTGATCTGGAATAAAACCCTTACGATAATTAATGTGGCAATTTTTTTCAAGATTTTTCTAGCCCTGACAACTGAATCTGGCACAAAGACTCATGGTGACCACATATCTGCAGAAGCAATGTCATTCATTGAAATTGGGATGGCACATGAACTCAGGGGCACAGTGGCTGTAGAAATACATAATGGGTTGATTATATGGATGAACTAATTTTATTGATTGCTTATGTGCAATGAACATATTTTGGGCATTTTCCGACTCTCTGAATTTTACTTTCTAGAGAATGACTCTCAAAGATATAGAAAAGGATGCTCTGGAGAAACGATGGCATCATTAGGAGACGGCCCTTTTCTGAGTGCTCTGACCACCAGAGGATTTTGACTTAGCCTCTACTTTTTTGAAATTACTTCAGTCTAACAAAGGAAGATAATAGTAATGTGCCCATATGAACAAAATCACAGTAGGAATTTGGAAGAAAAAAAACTGAATCGCTACGGTAAGAGGGGTAGGAAGACGTGTACGGAACATGCTTAGCCTCTCCAATCATACTTAACTCTGTAGGAGACAGAAGTTTGAAGATTTGATTTTTTAGAAATTAAATTGGACCAGGATTCCAGTAAAGCCATGGAGGGAATGAAATAGCTGAAGACTATTTCATGCAGAGCTCCTATTTGAGAAGCCTCTCAGAGGGAGCACTGATTGCTTGGTGCTGCTTCATTTTGTGTGTGTGTGTGTGTGTGTGTGTGTGTGTGTGCATATGTGTGAGAGTGTTCATTATCCTTGTATAAGCATATCGATTAACTAGTTTTAGACTATATTTTAGGTATATGGTCAATTAGACACATTTTGTTCTCAGTTCACCTTTTAAATTTTCTCTTTATTCTTTTACCATATTCTCAGTAAAGACGTTATGCCTATAAAAATTGAATTTTATATTGGGTATTATAGAGAAATGTCATAAAACCAACAGTTTTCATTAATAATGGAAGATTTTTTCCTCAGGAAACAATGTTTGACTTATAATAATAAATACTTTAAGAGAATAACAAACCTTTATAGTTTGTTATTTATTACATATTTCTGTGATTTTTCTAGACTTTGGGACATTTTTGTTCTTGAGTGTCCTTTTTTCAGTGCTAACCACCTTTGCTTCTACAGAACCTTCTCCAATCACCCTAGCCATTACTCAGTAGACTTTAGCTGCACAGTCCATGTATTAACTCTGTGCGGGGCATATGAGATCTGCCCGAGGGAATCAGGAAAGGTCTCAATTCCAGTTAGCAAAGAGTGACCAGACAATTTTAAGTTTACAGTAAATCTAAAAAAAAAAAAAAAAAAATCGCATGTCTAAAATGTCCAAAGAGTATCAGACACATCTATTGTATCACATCAATTAAATTAGGTTCTGTTTATCTCAAATGCATGTCCTATACCTTCTTTAGGTTCTTAATGATGTTTGGAATCTACATGGTTCAACAGAGGCACTGAGAATTTAACCCTGTGAATTTAACCCTGTGTTGAAACTCCTTCCAAGGAGGTGAATTTCAGGTCAATTCAGGAAGTTTCTGCTGCTTGGAACCAGTATGAAAATGGAAAAAAAACAAAATCAGATCACGATGAACCTTCATGTGTTTTCTACTATTAGAGATGTTCCAACAGAACAAACAAGGCAGCACAAGTAGGAATCCAGCTCACTCCGACTCTGTTCTTGGTTCCTTTCACTGTTAAAGGATTCAATGATAAACAGAGTTGCTAATCCACCACATTTAGATGTCACTGCAAAGGTAGATGGATTATTAAAATATACAGCATTTAATAATTGATAGTAATAATATAATTTAATAGATCTGCATGAGATATACCTAACAGCACATTGAACTTGATAACCTCTCCTAAGTCTTATAGTTATGTAATGAATGAGCCACTTGCTCCTACTTCCTCCCTTTGTTCTAAAACTCTCGAAATTCTTTTCCTCCTCTAGATGTGCAGTGGTGCTTTGTAACCTTCACTCAGCACTTACAAGCCTGATAAGACATCCAAACTTTGCCCACTAATTTCTTTCTGGGAAGGTCGAGAACAGAGAACAAGAACTTAAATTGCAGCCAATTCAACCCATTATCACTAACTGAGGCAATGTCTGAACTCATTCATTTTATGAAAATATTTTAAATTGGATAATTAGCAAGAGAGTGCCATAGTCACTATTTCCTTTCTGAGTAAGGTTTTTTTTGTTGTTGTTTTGTTTTTAGTTACTGTTGTTGTTTTGTTTGCACAATGGAGATTTTATTTTTTATATCGATTATAAAGATACATAATTTTTTGGTTTTGTAAACATAGAACCATTGCTCTTTCAGAATTTATGAGTTTGTTAGTCTTAAATTTTACTTGTAACTTCAGTCTCAAAAATGTTTCTAAAAATTGAAACTATGTAAAGATGTAATCCTGCAACAGCAAAGACTTTCCTTCAAAAACAAAGTTGAGTTATATCTCTCAACTTCCTGCTTGCTAAGTGCAACTTACAGCTGAAGTCTTCCCTATTTTCTTCGATTCCACTAAGTCACCTCATGAATTTTCCTAAAGTTTTTCTTACATTAAAACATAATTTCAGTCATTACACAGTTCAGCTTCCACATTTTCCCCACCGGTGTCTTATGATTGCTTCTGATGCTTACCCATGAGCACTAATTACTTTCTAAGTAGTCTAAGACAACCACATAATAGTTTCCAAAAGGTCTGAAGACACACAAGAACGAAGGTCAGGCTTTCTGGCTTGTTGTGAAAGAATATAAGTTTCCACTTACTTGAAAGCGGTAGAAGGTGCCATCATCCTTGAGTGTGAGGACGTGATCTGAGATGGGAAAGAAGTAGCCGTGGGCAGCCATTAGCGTTCCCAAATGGAGAGCCTCCACTGTTCCAAGAAAGCAGAGCAAAATGAAAACAGCACATGAAAGCCCTGTATATTTGTTGGAATTTGTTCTTGATGATTTCAAAGGAGTAACATTTGTCTGATCCTCTTTCAACACATTCTTGCACCAAATTTTTAACATTTTCCCAGTCACATAGAACACTCTTTCTATACAAAGGTGAGTGTGTGTGTGTGTGTGTGTGTGTGATTTTGAACTCCCTGTTCAAAGCCAAAATTTTGCCACAGAGTACCAGAGTATCTATACATTCTAGTTAAAACTCTAAAGCTCATGTGGACACAGGAAGAACAAAACTTTAAAGACACATATCTTGTTGCTTAAACTCGTGGCACTTCCCGCATCTGATGGTAAAGATAATCAATACACCTTGCAAGATTTATGTGAAAATCATATACAGATGTAGGCAAGGGAGGTAGGCAAATGCCTGAGCATAGTAGCTACTGGACATATGGGGCCATTATGCTTCACTGCTTGAACACTGAATGAGATTCACATCTTTCCAAGGTATTTCCCTGGCGTGCCACTTCTACAGATTTGCCTCTGAGAAGACAGACTGAGAGAGGCTGGTTCCTCTAAATGGTGGCAGTCCTTCCACACGTCCTCCATTACGTTTGGGTTAGCCATTGTGTTCAAATGGAAGAGAATGTTGAGCAAAGCTGGGCCACAACAGTTGCTAATAGCCTACAGCTGTGGTCAAGGTTGGGGTCCTTGTATGTCTTTGGCAACAAGACTTGAGTCTTGAAATTTCAGGGGCCTCACTTCTCCTCTTCTTACAGTTGCTTCTGTTTGCTTTGGTTTTTCAGTCTGTGTGCTGGGAAAGAGTATCAGCACACTTACCAGCCACGGAGATTAAGTTACAGCACGTGGGGATGACTTACATGTCTTTGGTTAAATGGTAAGAGAGTATGAGATTATAAACATAATTTCCAAAATGAAGTTATTAAATAATAGGTAAAAAAATCAGGGGTAAATTTTGTATTTGACTTAGAACTGTGGAAAAATGAAGCTATAAAACCAATACTGCTTGAGACAAAAATAAGAATTCAAATATACAGTCCATCCCAAATAGGTTCAATACCAGTACATGGGAAAGGACTAAAGTGTTTTGTGTTGTGATCATGAGAGGTCTGTTCAGTTTTTTAAGTTAATGTTAATGCTTGCATTGTCTTTTCAAAGTACCTCGGAAGGATTTGATGCGAGTTATTGTGCAATGAAAAAAAACTAGAATTGATATTACAGGCATAAATGATAGCAAGAAATCTTAGTGTTAGAGGACATGGTTTCAAGGTTCATTTGTTTATTTAATGATAATCATGGGGCTACATACTCCCATGATCCAACTGCTCCTAAAGCCCCAGCATCACCTCAACTGAATAAGACCCAGAAAGACCACACTGGCAATGTCCACATGGAGTATTACGAGAGTTCAATGAGTAAATTGTCAAGTTCAACCTCCAGTCATGCTTCTCGGCAAAATAATCACTAATTAATCTTCATGTGGGAGTGATTTTTGCCTCACTCACACAGCTCAAGCTCAACAATGCACCAACCAAAGCATCTTAGTTTCTTTTCTCATTTGGATAGCCAAGCGATGTGGGCGCTGAGCAAGCCATTCCCAAACTGCCACCATGTGAGCAGCTGCAGCAGCTGTGCCAAAGGCAGGCATTCCTCCCTCCCTTACCTCAGACCCTCAGGTGAAGATTTGCAACGTCTTTAAAAGAAGAGTGTTCTACAGACTAATTTGTTGTTTTTTAACCACAGCACCTCAAATGTTAAAAGGATGAATAACACATTATAAAAGAAGGTTGAGTCCTCCTGTGTGAAGTGTTGTGTATTTATAGCCCAGTTTCAAAGTCGTCTTATCCACAGAGAGCACAGCAGCCTTCCACAGACAGCAAATCTTCTTACAAAGATTGAAACGTGTTGGGACCAAGAAAACAAGAATTGTGACGATTCTCACTGGATTCTGTACATTTTAGTCAAAACCTTTTACTTAGGTTTTATGTGGATGTCTTTTACGAAATATAGCTCTATGTAACAATAATAATCAAAGAAAAAGAGACTGTCAACTTGAAGAGGGAGGATGGGAAGGGTTGGGGGAGGGCACCTGGGAGGAGGAAAGTGATACAATTATATTCTATTTCAATTTAAAATGTATTTTAGAAGAAAAAACAAATGCAGTTGTATATATCTGCATATGCATACATTCATAATTAAAATAAAACAAAATCGAAAAAAAAATACAGTGTTGTCATTCCATATGCATACAGTTAAATGTGATCGGGCTCTATCCAGGTGTGTCTTAGAAGGAAGTCTAAAGAAAAATGATGATAGCTGGCAAGGAAACGAAAATGCTAAAATGTATACAAAGGTAATTTGCCTACTAGTCAAATAAAAGGCAATCAGTGGGATGCTTCTAAGAAAAGCAATGTTTGCTTGGAGAAGATCATTTTAGAAGTCCTTTGAAGCATGATCTTTTAGATCTACTAGAATTGGCATTTGAAAAGGTAAGGTCAGACATTTGGGGAAATTACATATACAGAACATTTTATTCTCCAACAAAGCCAAAAAGAAATGGACTGTTACTGAACGAGGACTTTCAAAAGCAGCTTTAATTTCTCAGCAGAGGGAGGGAGTGAAAGAAGTAACTTGGGCTTTTTTTTTAAACATTTCCACATTGGAAAACAAATCCAAGTATTACTTGATTTTTACCAACTACAAATAGAGACTTTTTTAAAAAGAAAAGTGAATAGCAAATGATACTAAAGTATAAAGAATGAATGTAGAGAAGTTTGGGGATTGGAGATGTGGCTCAATGGGTAAAGTGTGTGCTGTGTAAGTATAAAGCCAAGAGAGCAGATTCCTAACACCCATGGAAAAGCTTAGAAGGTATGACAGCTCACCTGCAACCCCAGAGCTCAGAAAGTAGAGACAAAGGACACTTGGAACAAACTGGGTAACTACAGTAGCCCAATTAGCCTGAGCTAAGGGAGAGAACAATCCAGGAAGACATCTCAAATCAACCCCTGACCTCCACAAGCCTACATGCATATGTGTGCTTCCACACATTTGAGCACATGTATACACACTCAAATACTACAAACACACCTTTAAGAAATAACTTCTGTGTGTCATGAATAAAATAATAATAATAAAAACAAACAAACGAGCCAAGGATGCAAATGACCCTCCCAAAATGGCTTCTGCTTGAAAGAAACAAAAACAGAATGAGAAATTGAATCAGCGTTGAGAAATGCACTAGGTGTTGAATAGCTGTAAATCCCCTTCCTAACAGCAGTGAAGTGTGGCTGTTGTGCAGTGTGCTGTCAGAATCCAGATCCATCTCTCTGTTGACCAGCTGTGTAACACGAGCCAGGGACTTCCAGTCTCCGGCCTTGGTGTCCTCAGGAGCATGAAGTTAATAAAATACGCCTGTCCCAAGTTCACTGTGATAACCAACTAAGATGTGAGCTATGTATCAGTACCACATGCAAATGCTACAGTGATATTAGCTGATAGAAAATGACAGAGTTGTACCACTTCATCACTTCAGCTAGTTCAAAAGCAAAGGGGTAGCTGGACCTGACTAGTCAGAGCAATAAAAAATATCAAGGAAATAAAAAAGTAAAGAGAAAAATATATTTTATTTTGTTATTCTCAATTTCTCTAAAATGTAACTTAAAACAAATAATAGTAAAAAGTGTGTTAGAGCAGTAGTTATCAACCTGTTGGTCATGAACATTCCTTTGGGTGTCCAAAGACATTTTCACGGGGGTTATACATCAGATATCCTGCATATCTGATATCTACATTATGATTCATAACCATAGCAAAATTAGTTATGAAATTACAACAAAAATAATTTTACGAATAATTATTTCGTAATAATTACGAAAATACGAATTATAATTACGAAAAATAATTCCACAACAAGAGGAACTGTATTAAAGGGTAACAGTGCTTGGAAGGTTAAGAACCACTGTGTTAGATTATTACAAAATGGCCACAAATAAAACAGAAGAGATGAATTAGGAGAAACCTAAAAACCTCGAGAATTAGAACTGTGTGACTAAAAATGCCATTGAAAATGGAATTACATTATCTGAGATCTAGACTTAAAACCTCAAGACAAGCAATCAGTGAATACAGGATAAACATAACTGATGGCAGCAGAGAAAATACAATCATTTAAATGACTGAATTGAAATTGCAATGGCAGGAAAAAAGGAGGAAGAAACAAAAGAGCAAAGTTTGCAGATATTAACCTACCTGTATCAATAATACCTGAAGGCAAATGATCTGAAGACAGTAATTCAAAATTTAAAAAATTAAAAAACAAAACAAAAGCATGGAACTATACTAGAAGGAAACTACATTTTCTCATTTTCTCTTCTCTCCTCTCTTCCCCTCTGTTCTACTCTCCTCTTCTTTTCTTTCCTTTCTTCTCCTATACTCTTTTCTCTCTCTCTTTTTCCCTTCCCCCCCCCTTTTTTTAAATTATACTCTCTAACACGAGCTGGATTTGAACTCAGTTTGTAGCTCAGCTTGATTTTAAAAAGAAGTCATCTTGTTTCAGTCTCTGAGTGCTAAAATTACAGGATGAACCCACATGCAAATATGTTGAAAATAGAGAGAGTAGGAAAGATGGATCCTGTCTATGCAGATCAAGATGTTCATATGCTAACAAAATGATTATAGAGTGAGGCTCATAATGAGCAAGATCAGTGGGAATGATGGGGAGAATTGCATAACTTTAAAGAGGTCAATTTAATAAGAAAAAAGCAGTCTAAATGTGTGTGCACTTCCAAATTTGGGAGGTAAACTTGGGAGAAATAATGGAGAGAGAGAGAGAGAGAGATATCCAGAATTACAGATGGAAATATTTGCACCGCTCTGTTGGGAACCTATAGGTCAAACAGCACAAATGGCAGTGAAAACGCATTGATCTGAAGCTCACTTGATATACATTGACCTGGTCTAATTT